TAATAGATGTGTACTAGTATATATCATCTTCAACTCTAAATATTTAGTGTTTCCTATTTATTACCTAGACCGTGGCAACCTGCCACAGTTTTATAATGAACCAAAATTATTGTTTATAATAACATAAATATGGAGCCCCCCAGGTGTCAGCTGAGAAATAAAAAGAGTCATGTTTTTTCACAGTGCTTCATTCTTTCTAAACTTCACTCAACATTTTGATGTCAGGAATTTTTTTTTTACTGACATTTTAGATTTCTTTCCAGTGAAATATTTTTGAGTGAATATAGTGACTTGGCTGTTCAGTTTACTGTTGCTGCTCTACAAACAATATTTTGTTCATTTAAAAATCAATACTAATACTAATAAGTCAATACTAATCTTCTTAAATGATCCTGTAGAATGAAAAAGAAGAACAGGTAAGCTTATTGATAAATTATTATTGATAGTTAAGAGTACGGAAAAGACAAAGATCCCGTTTTCACGATACCCACCCCTACAGCTGGTAGTGGCTTTACCCTGACTTTAATATGACATCTTAATATCTTCTTCCTCCCTCCCTCTGGCCTTTTACCAACACATGGACAGATTTCAGGCCAGTACCAAGTTAAAATGGGTCATCGCTATAAACAAATTGCCGCAATGCTAAAATTGGACACAGCGAGCCATATTTGTTAGCCTTGGTGGATTCCTTTTGTCTATGTCAGGAGACTACGGTGATATGACTTCACTGTAAAAATGAATGACACCAGTATTAAATTGTAAAAATGTTACTACTTTCCATGAAGAAACAAACATTCTGCACTGGTCCAATACTTGCACAGGGCCAACAGAGCTGTCTGAGCACATTGGCCAGTAACCCTCTTGTGGCACTGATTGAATGACTGTTATTGAAGGAGAGCCTTGAAGCCCCAAAAATGTGTGTGTGTGTCCTTGTCTGTGTGTGTGTGGGGAGGGGGTTAATCTGCCTTGTGTTGCTGTCGACAGAGAAATTCCCTAAGGTCTTCGAGTGCTGGTGGAGCTCAGAGGCTGAGGTCACACGCACACACAAACAGAGACTCGGGGTCCCTCTTCTTTTCATCCTCATTCGTTTCTATGCTCCTCTCCCTCCTCCCTTTTCATTTCCTTTGTCTTTTCTCTCCCAACGTTTTCCTCCCTCCTCCCAATGTTTCCCATTCTTCTATTCTCTCACTGAGCTCCGTCCACGATCACCTCCTTCTTCTTCAAACTCCTGCTCCTGATCTTGCCTTCATCCTCCTCCTCATAATCTCCTCTGACCACCTGTCTTCCAAACGTTCTCCCAAAACTTTTGTTTATTTTGCAATTTATTCCATCCTTTTGCTTTTTACATACATGTCTCACTCAGCCCCCTCTTCAGAAAGGTAGCTGAATGCTGAACAGGCTCCTAGTGATTTCCTCGGGCACAACAGGGCTGAACTTTGACCTTTCTCCCTCCTCCCTTGATCCCTACCCACTTATAAGACTTCATTTCTCTTCTTTCCCTCCCTGCTTTCTCCTTTCTTTTACCTCTTCTGACTGCCTTGTAGTTGAATCACTCTCTTAACTTTATCTCCGTTTCATTGAGCATGTCTCCAAATCTGTTGTCACTTACTGGTAGTTGTTTTGCATGCTTCACCCTAAGAGCTCACTGCTGTTCTCAAGTGCTACTCCTTTCAGACTATATGTTTTTCCCTACAAGCCACAGATGAAAATACTGGTTTTGCCTGATCAACCAGTCCCAGAGATATTCAATTTAGAGTGATAGAAATTGCAAAAAATTTGCCAATTCTTAGATTAAAAAAGGAAGAAGCAATGTTTGACATTTTTCTTTATGCATAACTTTAATAACCACATTTATTTATGGTTTAATCTCAAAATTAATTCACCTCTTTCACCATTTCATGAGCAACAAAGATAAAGCTTACCTGCCTCTGAGAATATAAAACTTACCAAAGTTTACCAGCATCATAACCTCTATTTTCCCACCTGAGAACTGATTTAAACTCATTTAAAACTGTTAACACTGTAGCCATTTCTGTCTTGCCCAAACATTTCTCCTCCTCCATTTTCTCTCATTTCAGAGAACTGTGTCAATGTCTTTTTGCCCAACCAATTTGGATCCATTCTAACAAAGCATCTTAAGAAGCTACTGGGTGATACTGCTCCTCTTATGTCTCCACTCCCTTTATCTATTCATCAATCTCTTTCTTCACTAAAGCTTAAGCAAACTATCTGCTCCATCTCCCTCTTCCCTCCTGTTCCTCCATTTCTATCCACTTGTGCATTCTCCTGGAAACTTTGGATTAGATGCCAAAGAATATAAAGACACATAACCTCCCCTCCCAAATTTATCTCTGAAACACACAGACACTAGAATTTAAACAACTGCAGCTCAGTTACATATGCATATGAGTCAAAGGGATGGAAAGACACTCACACCACGTATGCATACGTATGTACACACATACAGAAAACCGACCGAAGTTCCAGATGATCCTGACTCCCACAGATCTCCAGTTCCCCTGCCCACCCAGTGTGAATGTGAGTGGATGTTACGTACGTGTGTGTAACTTTACTCCCACTATTCTGCCACATGTCAGCAGTTGCTCAGTCATCTTTGACACACACAGGATTACTGCCAATACTTGTCTCTGCATGCATATAGCCTGGTTACCTCAGGCTTTCCATACCCTTATAATATGCAGTATATAATGTTGAGAATTGTCATTTCACTAATCCAGCGTGTATTAAATAAGCCCATAATTCTTTGTCCAAGTCTGAATCTGACCTGGTAAAGACCCCTTCGACCCACTTTTTGACTGGCAAGAGAGAAAGAGAGAGGCATGTGTGATGGAGGAAGAAAGCAACAGAGGTTAGACGTTGTTTTCTGATAAACAAAGTGGCGTTTCCAAGACGCAGGGCATCAGACGAGGCTGATTTTAGTTTCTGGGATTCAGGAAGACTCGAGGAGCATCTTGTGATGGAGATGGGGGGGGGGGCTCCCACAGGAAATAATCAAACACTGAGAAACATAAACATGTGAGGATTTGCAGCGAAAACATTCAATTACACAGTCTCACCTTGTTTGACTTCCAGGCATTGAGGAGAGAGAAGCAGGATGTTCAGAGGATGGAATAGATCTAGCCTACTCATCATATTGAAAAAAATGTCATGCCCTCTCCTGTCATTCTGCAGAGTAAAATGTATCATGTAAATTTGTTTCTCTGGCACAGTAACAACTATGTCATCAGAGCAAGCAGAACCACGTGAGTCCATGTCACGGTTTTCTCCCTCTGCTAAAAACCTCAGTTTAGTCAGTGCCCTGAATGTCATATGACCAGCTGAGACTGTTATTCTGAATCTCCAACTACTGAACACACCTCTGTCTCTGTGCTTATACTTGTCAACAAGATGAGCTGCAAAGACACTATTTTTCCCCCCCCACTTTCTGTTGGCTTCATCTCTCCCGCCAACACACGTGTCTTGTTCACACTTTCTGTCTTTCTCGTTTTCTGACTCTCTCTCTCACACAAACACACACACACACACACACACACACACACCACCAGAAGTTGCATCAGTGCACCATAGTGTAGCAACAGCATCCTGTGGTGAACTGTGTGCCATCCTGTCTCATGTTTACACTGTGTACAGGACGCAGCCTTTTTGTTAACCTTTTATGCATCTACAGGCTGAGAATGAAAGCCGATTGGGCGCTGCACAGTGCAACCTGTCTAGCCACAGAGAAACTATAGTGGAGCAGCTAGGAAGTCATCTGTCCTACTCAAGGGCACCATAATGGGGACACGTAGGTGAGAGATGCAACAGTGTTACTCATTCACTTTCAGTAGCCTGAATATCCCACACTGTCTGGGGGTTTCGGCAAGTAAGTCTTTTCTTGCAGAATAATACTGTCCTAAATAGTGATCCGGCATTCTACAGATATCAAGCAGGCAGATTCATGAGGTTTGATTACCGGCAATCATGAAGTCAAACCTAAGCATTTTCACTTATTCAATACTGATATATGCAACTTGTGGTAGTGGTAATCCAAAGTACCGCAGCATCCGTTCACATGCATTTTAAAAAAAAAAAAACAACCATTAATACCAAACGTCTGTAGGATGTCTGTAGCAAACCAAAACCATGACTGAGCTTCAGCGACAGGGCAGAGCTACACCATACCTCCATTTGTCAGATGTGTCCGTAAGGTGTGGAAATATCTTTATAACCAAGGAGAAGAACTGTTTTGTTTTCTGCATCACACAACTGTGTTTCAGCATTATACATACACAGCCCAAGGAGCTACTACAGGTACAGGTCAATATTATAAAAACATAATGACCAAGTCAACCAAATATTTTCAAGCAGGGCCCTCCACTGAGAGACAGCTCATCTCGCAATAAACCAGTCCAAGAAGCAATTTTTTAGAGAGATGCATTCAATCATTTGTGGGAAAAAACAACAGTCTAGACAAACAACAAGAGGAAATGTGGAATTAAACTCAGAGCAGCTGAAAAGTTTTACAAATTAATCCAAACCATCAGTGCTGCTGCTTTAAAGAACACATAAACAATGCAAAAATCTTGTTGATAGGACACTTCTCAATAAAGTGTTTCCCCGCTATTGCACTTTGCTGCCTGCTGAAAGGGCTATGGACCCTCTAGACTAGTCACGCTTTATCTAAAATGCAGCAAAAACCAAATAATCGACCGCATCTAGCTTTAGCCAGGATGTAATCTGCACCAGTATCTCAATCTCAATCAGATTGTGATCTCATTTTGTATTACAGGAAAGAGTCCGGGTGAACAGGAAGTTCTCGCATCTCAGTAATCTCAGGATGTCAAGGTAAAAAAAAGAGGACATGCAAGAAATAGTAAAAAGGAGACGTTAAGCGACCACAACCACAAAATTACATTTAATTCAAGACTTAGTCAGATAAACAGGAAGAGACACAGCGCACAGACACTGAAGAGGTAACAGTTTTATGTATCTGGACTCACCTGGAGCTCACACCATGCCACTTCCACAGTAGTCTCTGTATCCAGTCCCTTGTAAACAGTCTTAAAGGACCCTCTTCCGATCTCGATGTCAAATTTTAGGAAGCGTCCATCTGGTGAAGTCCCCACAGCTTTTGTCTCCACTTCCTCTATATCGTCTTGCACTCGTTTCTCGGCCTCCCTTTGCTCTGCCCGTGCTTTCGCTAGCTCCTTCTCCTCCTCCGTCTCCCTCTCTTTCTCCTCTCTAACGCTACCCTCATCCACATGTTCTATCACTTTTCCATCTTTCATCACCTGTTGTGTGGCCTCTGACCCTCTGGGGCGCAATGTCACGTCAGGCTCCTTGCCTACTATTTTGGCGGTAACATCCAATACTGTCGGGCTGGGATCTTTTACTGCCCCATCTGGACCATGCTGAACACTGCTACTGGTGGGAACGGCGATCGTGATACTGCCCACAAGTAAATCTTCCTCGTTTTGTATGTTCCCCTCTGCAACTGCCCCACCAAGCCCAGGTTGAAGGGTCTGGCTTTGCACATAGAGACCTACTGGGACCTTCCCATGTTCTTTATCCTGTACCCCAGGTCCAGGCTGTTGAGGGTAGAGAGTGAGTGGCCCTTCACAGTCTGGAGGTGAGGACAGTATCATGGCTGCTTTGCTGGGCAGGTCCAAAGCTGTGGCATTGGAGTCACATATGACACTCCGGCGGAAGAAACGGTGCTCGGCTGTTTTAGAGTCTCTATCCATCGTGTGGCGCCGACGTTGGACCTCAGGGTGTCCGTCGAGCTTCTCCACCACGTGAGAGTCTGAACTGGCAGGGGTGTTCACATTTTTGTGGGGGGTCTGGGGTGAGGGACAGGGAGACGCAGAGGGAGGAGGGGGGGCCGGGGCAATGAATTCCACCGCTTTGCTGCTGCTTTCAGACATTGCTCCGTTAGGCTCAGACCACAAAAGAGAAATTCTGTAAGTATAAATAAGGATTTATTTTATGTGAGTAATCAGACCAACCTATGTGTAAACTGTGTGCATGCGGGCACAAATCTTGACTAGCAAGCTTTGTTTTTCAAGTGAAAAGTTCTCCAACCTCTGATCAAACTCCAAGAAAAACAAAAGGGGAAGGGTAACAAAACAAAATCAACTGAACGCAGTCATTTTCATTGTGGTTTGTAGGTTTTTTTAGCAAGGATTTATTAACTCTACTTCCTCTTTGCAACGGTTTCAACAATACAACCAACAGTTCCTACAAGGTCCTTCTGTTCTTCTGTAATCAGGGAAGCCCCAGGAGAGAGGAAGGGGCTTTCTCTTAAAGACTGGGGAGGGAGGGGACGAGAGGCAGTCAATGGAGGGGGGGTGCAAGCACTGCAATGAGGTGACAACCGTCAAATTAACACCCGAATCCATCCCGATAGCAACATCCAGAGAGGGATGACAACAACATGGACGAACTGGAGTTCCAACAGACCAGTATGGCCTCCCCCAGGCTGATAAGATGAAATATGACTGAAATCCAATCCAGTTTCAGCTTGACTTGAGCTCTGGTGCAGTTTGTGTAAGAATAGGATGAAGCCCCCCACTGCTCGCTGAAGATAGGGCTCCCTGTAGAAGTTGCTGGCCCGTCTGGTAAATCCAGACAGAAGGCTAGGTAGGCCTAGCCTAGGCCAGCTTAGTCTGCTTTGGCCCTTGTCCCTGAAATGAAAAAGTGAAGAGTCAGATGAAACTATATTTTCTTTAGATATCTTGCAAAATTTACTATCTGCTTTCACTCGACTACCCAACTGACTCGACCAACTTCAAGAGACCCCCAAATGATACTTGCCTTCCCACCAAAGTGGCTGGTAAAGCAAATAAAGCTGCCAGTTACTCCTTTTACCGCCATTTGGCCTGTGGTGACTATTATGAGTGACAGAGGCAGGGTGGGAAATGAACACCAGCCAAATGTTGCTAACAATTTTAGTTGCAGTTGACAAATCTGACAGCAATTCCAACCACTAAACAGGGATCAAACCCTTATGTGGATGTTTGTTTCCTTAACAATTTGGTTGGTAAAATAGTGAAACTAGTTCAGCACAAGAAAGTAGGTTTTCTTACACCAAAAAGTGAATATTCACATTAGATATAGCACGGTCTTAAGTTATTCATTATTCCAGATTTGGCTGTTAAGAGGATTCAGCTGGACTCCTGCACTCTTGGTTTGGGATTTATCAGTGAACTCGGGTTGAGGCCGGCATGATCTTTGGTCTCCAGCTCAAGCCTGTTAACAAAAAACTGCATCCCACCCCAATTTTTCCCCTCCCAATTACCCCCGTGTAGTTAATGCAGTGGAAGGATGCAGTAGGGTGTGCGCCTAATTGCTCCACGTTCCAAATTTAGCCCAAAGTCACCACAGCCTGGCTGACCTCAAGGTTAGGCCACTCTTCGGCAACTTGGCATGAGAGGAATGACATAGATAGAACCACTGCGTAAAAACTAAATACATATGAGGACAGTGTACTGGTACATTACTTTAGATACTACATTACATAAAACTTAGAAAGTGGTAAGAAATATGCTTGCTAAGTTTGCAATTTGCCTCACATAACATCCTACTGTTATCATAGTGGCACTGGGACAGGGGAACAGCAGCTGCTTTGGTGTCATGTTTAAAACTACCCATAACGCGTGTTCACAAGTCTTATCGACAAAGAAACATGCAGAATAATTGTCACAATTTCATTTAGTCTTTTACAGATTTCTTCAATTAATCTGTCCCCCATGAATGGGGATTTAAATGGCACAAGGCGGCTTTGCACACACTAAAAGTGTGTCAGTAAACTGCACAAACTGCTCACATTTATTAACCCAGATGGCGTGTGACCACTTCATAGCAAAACATAGGCTACAAAGTCTGCCACAAAGCCAAATGGATCTCATTTTAATACATCAATAAGTTTCTCTGCAACACAGAATATGCAACATGTTACTGTTCAGAAGATACTTTAAAATATAAGTGAAGTTTGTCCTGACAGTTTCCCAGTAATGACCAAACACAACACCAGAGATTCATTTGGCCTATTGTATATTATCTCGGTTAAGGGAAGTGGGTGCAGGATTAGCGCTGAAGAGGTCACAGTAGGTATGCGCCTTAAGGCAATCGGGTAGAATCTGGTTCCTTAGCTCCTGAGTAGCTTTATTGCTTGAAAAAAACCTTACAATAGATGGTAACTACTTTGCATTTAATGGTACCCGATATCCCCAGAGGTTAAGATGAGTAATTTACCTAATGTAGGAACAGCCCTATATGGTCAATTAAGTAATACATTAGACAGCACAATGACACCATCTGAAGAGACCAGGCTGATGGCTTGTATTGCTGTGTGCCTTTTTGTTGTTGTGAATATGGCTTATCTAAGAACTGAGCCATGAGAAGATGTTTCACAGTGATTTTACAACAGCTAGGGGGTGTTGTTAAGGCAGACAGAAAAAAAAGAGCAGAAATTGTACACTCAAGTTCATTTCAAATGTAAAATATCAGCCATTATAGCCTATGGTCATTTTAAGGTAAAGCTTGCAACATTAATATTGAAAAGAATTTAATTTTAAACACCTAATTATCATTAGGTGTGCTGCTTTAAAGAATCAGGGCTGTCCTTTTTTATAACTGAAATAAGTCTGGCTAACTTTACACAATATTATGCAAATGAGCAAAGTTTTGCAAGAAAAACTGTTGCAAAAAAATAAAGAAGAAAAGATTCCTCTGTTGCCAGGCTGCCTGCCAAATATAATGCGCATATAAACATTCAAGCATGGCCAGAATTGAATGGTCAAAAGTACTTTTCAAGTAGAAGTAGGGCTTATATGGCTAATATATGCATTATATCATTAAATGTAGAAGGTTAACAATTACATTAATTCTGTCCGTTATGGTCTGCTCATTAAATCCTAGTGAAAAATGGGTTCACATCCTGTTAAAATGAGCACAGGAGCTATTAGGACTCCAGGGGAACAGACACGGGAGTCGCTATAGTTAGGGGGCTTATTGTTGATACAGGCTAAACTTGAGACAAAATGTATCTTCAAGTTATTGGGGGGGGAGGCTGCATTTGCATTGGTGAAAAACTGTGAGGAAGTTACTAACTGTGTTAGAAAGGGTGCAAGCCCCCGCTAAACGTCCTGAACCGTGAGCATTGTAGGAAAACTGTGAGCAGCAATCCGTGCAGAGAGGGGTTCGTTGCTGCCTGTTGAGGAACTCAAACGAAACGAGGCAATACAAAAAAACAAGACAAGCAACAACCAGTCACGATTTGGACACAGCATTATGATGATACAAAAAATGTACCGTTACCTATTACATCGGTGTGGGCTGTAGTGGTACCGCAGAAAAATGAAGGTAAAAACTTGATTTAAACGCCTTTAACTCCTCTGCAGTGGGAGTCCGCTCCGATTTACAAAGCTCCAAAGTGTCAGTATAGTGCGTCACATTAAAGCCACAGTTGGTTGCTGAAAACCCCGAAAAAATAAGCTATTTACAAAAACATAACTTAGCTGCAGCCTTATCCTTCTTTTTTTTTTTAAAGGGCCGAACAAGCGCCGCGGTGAGCGGTACGTGCAGCGACTCGCAGCCGACAGAATGACACCTCCCACAGGGCAGAGAAGCCAAGTTCGCTCGCTGGTGTCGCGGCGGCTCTGGTACTTCTTTATGTCTGTCTCTGTGTTGTCTGTGTCCGGGTCTGCTACCGCAGCCAAAAGAGGCAACGCTCTAACTCAAAGATGCCGTATCCTCATCCGTATCAACACCCAGGCCGCTCCAGTGGCCGCGGTTCCGCTCCTCTTGGCTTGTGTGGTGCAATTAATCCGCTGTGAACCACAGTTATTCCCCGTTTTCAAGCCATCAGACGGCTGCACCGTCTGCTCTCTGCTCTTCTCTGGCGATGACTCGACAACGCGACGGCAGGGCTTTCACGCCGACGTGCCGCGTCAAATCACCCACTGTTAATCCCGAGTATACAGGAAGAGAGGCGTTCTTTCAAAATAAAACAAAAGAAATTGGACTTATTACCCAAAGTCTCTCTCCCTGATGTTTGTATAGATATACCTAACTTGTTTGTATATTTTCCTCATTTTCAATAAATTAAAAATTGATTTATTTGTCCTATGCTATTTTTTCATAGATGACAGCAGCTGTCTGATTTGATCTGTAAGAGAGGCCCAGCTGTGCCCCTGCTGTGTGCGATCCGGGAGGAGAGGAAACATCTCTCACCTTTTTTTCTCATTTGCTGGAACAGTTGTAAGCTCCCAAACTTTCAGTGTCATACCTCACATAATGCAATTTTGTGAAATGTTAGGCATATGTTTTGAAAATTGGGATGGCGTAAAGGGTGTTGAGAAAGAGAAAGATTTCCTTTTGCATTAGGAATTTGGTCATCTGGTCAGGGATTCTCAATTGTTTAAACTGATCAGTGGTTCTATCATTTGTTTTGATGTTTAGAGAGATAATTGGTTTTCTTTACTAAAATTAGCAAAGAAAGGAAAGTAGGCTACATAGTATTTTCCTTTTGGTCTACGTATTTTATTACAATTATGGATTTAAATTCCTTGCTGGTATTTTAAATAGGCTAATGTATTAAATATTTAGTTGGAAAGATACTTTTGACATATCGGTTTCCCTAAACATTTTAAGGCATATCAAAATTGACCTATTAATCCTGTTTGTAATCTTGTGTTTAATAAATTCCTTTTGAATACAAACCTATCAAAAGTTTATAAATTTACTAGTAGGCCATTTATTTGTAGCCTATAAACAAATCATGGAAACAGTCCTGACAAATTCTAACTTACTGCACTTTAAAAATGACCACTATAAAACTGAATCAAACTTAAACATTCTTAATTTGCATCTTGTCAAGTGGAAGCCAAACAGAGTGAAATGGGACTCCTGGGGAAAAACATTCTGCAACACGTGCATCGTCAACAGTTTTATTTTGACAGGTCAAACCGGACGTACTATTGTTAATTCTGGTGGACTTGTCGACCAGAGACAAGCTGGGATGCTGAGGCAGTCAACAGCTGCAGTGTGAACCAAAACATGTCGTTCATCATGCTTTTATTTTATGTCTCGGTCATGTTTTACACATCCAAAGTCAACCTTTCTGACTGATGTTTATTTAGTGTGTGATTCTCTCTCCCTTACTGTGTGAATATGTGAGTATGTGTGTTTCGTGTTTTCGTATCCCGGTGGGGACTGCGCGAAAACGATGTGGACTCGATCGGGTCACCCTGGAAACAAAAATTGAGGTCCCCACGGGTAGAGACGGGTTTTGTTATGCTTAAGACATGGTTTTAGTTTTGAGGTTACAACTAGATTAAGGTTGGGGTTAGAGTAAAAGTTGTGGTTAGGCATGTGGTTGTGATGGAACATGTTAGGGTAAGAGGCTAGGGATTTCATTATGTCAATGAGATGTCTCCACGGGGATACAGGAACAAACACGTTTGTGTGTGTGTGGCCTTCTCTTACAGATTTACTACAGTTCAAAAGGTAGGGAATAATCAGAAATGAATAATAAGTTCATAATGGGCCGTTTTAATTAATTCATTGTAATTTTTTTGGTTTGGTTCTTAAGGTTAAAGTCAGTTCCTATCAAATCCTGCACATCAGAAACCACAGTTAAGATCTGAATCTGTTTGTCTATCAGATTTACACACCCTGATACTGAGCTGCAGCGCCTCTTGCAAGAATAATCAAAACAGGATAATGGTTTTATCCTGCTCATCAGTGTTGTTTATTTTTCTCTGTGGCTCATCCTGTTTATATTTGACAGCAGGGGTTCAAACTGTTTAACACCAAGGCCCTTGAAATCAACACGCACCAAAGAGGTATCCCTGACTTAACTTTGAATAAATAAAACAATTTCCATAAAGAGCAACCAGTTTGAGACCAAACTGCCACCTGTTCATCAAATGACCTATCAGGCATTTAAGTGTTAAGTGCACAGGTTAATTGCTTTTTCAGTTGGCAAAATTAAAGTGGTCCCCAATTCATTTTAAATATAACTATGTTGGCACAGAACCTAGAATAATAACTAATTTACCCTAAAATGGTGAAATGGTGAGGGCTTTTACTTTTAATTTGCAGCTGGGCCACTTAAGCTCACACAATAGCCTTTTTTTGTTAAACAAAACTTTGTATCTTTTCTAATTAAGAAACACACTGCACACTTCCTCCAGTTACTCATGCAAATGTTCTTTCACAAAAGTAACAATTGTGAAAATGACATAAAAATGACCATTGACCAGTGGGGCTGTACACCCTACTGACTGATGTATAGTCATTGCCGTGTCTTATCAAATATAGCTCTTATCTCAGCTTCCACTGTTAATAGCAAGATAATCTGCTCAGTATTGCTGCTAGGAAATCAGCAAACACCCCACAAATTTAGATTAGATTAAGATTTGTTAAATTGTAGGCAGGGACATTAACATGGTCATGGACTTGTTTTGGATCTTCACATGACCAACAGGAGGTTAATATTAGCCTCTGTGTGTGTGTGTGTGTGTGTGTGGTGGGGGTGCTCTATTGCCTGTGTGCACACATGCTGCACATGTTCATCCTGCACTTTTCTTAAGGCGGTGAAACTATATGCCTGGTTGCCACAACAACATGACAGCAAGTCAGGACAGAACACACTTTTGGAAAGTACACAAAGACTTTGTTGAGTGCATCTAATGTACATACAGTATATTTACAACTGCCAACAGATAGTCTACCAACTAATGTATGGTTTGTGCAAACTGCGTGTGAGATTCTGATGTCCTCTTTTTGTCAGTGAAGCCTCCATAAATATTATCAACCTTTACAGCGGCATACTGAGAGATTCACTGTTGCAATAATTCTTGTACAATCCCTCTTATCCCCTTATGACAAATGTATCATGCATAATGCTACATTTTATTTATTTTACACGTCACAGATGCTTCACTCAACAGAAAAGAACTCCTGGCTGGACAGGTGACGTGCCCAAAAACTACAACAATATAAAGCATTTAAAAGTCAATTTGATGTGTAACTCTTTCTTTGTTGTTCTTTTACTTTGGTGAATGTATATTTGAATACTTCTTCTTCTGTGCTGGAAAACAGCATATATAGGTTTGTGTGTGTGTTATGTTAACAGCTTGGTCTTTTCAACTCAATTGACAACAAGAGTTTGACCTCAACATTTCTTCTGTACACACACACCTTGACACACCTATGCCTATTCCTTCAGGAAGCTGTAAAACTATCACTGAAAATTACTCTGTCAGAATGACTGATTTATTCTCTCTCTCTGTCTCTCTCTCTCTCTGGGTCTGTCCTGACCTACCTGTACCTAGGTTGTACCTAAAGGAAAAATGCTAGCCAAATTGTGTTGTATATTTTGGGCCCCAAAGTTCAGAGATACCAGGGCCCCAAAGTTCAGAGATACCAGAGTGAAAGAGGAACACAAAGCAGTTACACCTTAGGGCGACTACTCTCAAAGTAGCTGTAAAGCATGAGGCCCCAGTGAGGTAACAAGAGACCTGAGCCGCACCATGATGAATCCACATTTCTCTCAGCTCATAGGAGACACGCTGACCTCACTCTGCTATATTGTGTAACTAAAAGTCACACTGAAGAATAACAGAGAGATTTTTAAAGGAGTAGTTTGAGATTGTGGGAAATGCACTTGTTTGCTTTCTTGCTGAGAGTTATTTCAGAAGATTGATAGCAGTCTCATATTTGTTTGGTCAACATAATGCTTAGCCAGTAAACAATTAGCTTAGCACAAAGACTGGAAACAGTGGGAAACAGCTAGACAGGCTCTATCCAAACATAACACAAGCTGCCTAAAGCTGACTAATTAAGATGTTAGATCTCATTTGTTTAATGCGTACAAAAAGTGTATGCAGATTTTGTTACATTTGGACAGAGCCAGGCTAGCTGTTTCTCATCTTTCCCCAGTCTTTATGCTAAGCTAGTTTTTCATGCAGCCTTAAAATGAATGTACAAACTTGAGAGTGATTTTGATCTTCTCATCTAACTCTCAACAAGAATGCAAATCAGCCTCTCTCCCAAAATGTTGAACTATTCCTTTAACATTATGACAATCACAACTTCCTAAATGATTTGCCCAACAGAACAGACCATATTGGTGTAAATCACACTTGAATCACACTTCGCTGGTAAAAATGCCAATCTTTGGCTGACTCAGGAAGGAACTATCATTGGGTTATACGGTATTTGAGCAATCTAGAAGAACCTGAAGCTTATTCCAGCGTTGCAATCATTGCACTACATGTCACTCTGGAAACCACGTTCTATATAGTTATGTATTAGTTAGAGTCTAATTTCTCTCAGTGACCCAGTCACCTATTTTTGTCTGTCAATCCTTCAAATACACTGTAATCTAGACTTTAATCAGTTGATCAGTGTCCAACTTGTTTTTCGTCTTCCAGAGAACTCTGGGATGAACTTCCTGATTTTTGGCATGTGATTTTATTAAAGATCAAAGATGGAATAGATTGTACATAGTTTGTAATCTATCGTCTAATGCCAAAGAAAGGTGATTGATTTCTCGACAACACTGATGCCTGCCAACCTTTAGTAGTAATGTTCACATGAACTACTGGATTATCCACTTATTCTGACTGAAAAATAGGATTCTTACAGAACAGCACGCTTGCTCCTTTTTTAACATCAGTAAGAGAGCACTATTTTCAGTGAAAGTGGTGAGGAAATTCAACAAATTCAAGTTAAATTCAGTTAAATAGAAACAAGTCTGCGTAATTGCTCACTGCTTTTCCTCCCTTTGGCTATATTGCCTCTCTTACAAAAATATGTTATAATATATTATCTTCATGCCTCGCTGATAAAAGTAAGACATTTTGAGACCTTTTTTTTCAGATTCATTTCCAGTTTACCTTTTTTGGTGAAATACATTGTTCAAAATACGGTTCAAAAAAGGTTGCTGACATGGCAGTGTGTGG